GACCCGCACATCTTGACGGAAGATGGAATTGATTGCGAATAGATTCTACGACAATCTCTTCCCTCATCAACACCTTCGTTTCAAACCCCATCATCCTCACTGGAGGATTACCACGTCGACTAAGAGGTGGACCTATTTGTGAGAGGACATTGATCGACGGTGGATTTACTCTACAGCGGTACAGCTTTTTCATCGTTCCCTTCGCATACCAATTTCAAAGGGGTCCGGTAAGGCGACACCGTATTGCAAAAGCTGTCTACCGCAGCCTTGCGGTGCGTGATGAAATCGCTAGATTGGAGCGAGAGGGTGTACGAGTTGATGGAAGATTCCTCTAGAACCTTCGTTTTGTGGAACATTGTTCTCTTCTCGACGAACATCACCGGAAAGGAGAGAGATGAAAGGCGGAGTGAAGAAGAGAGCAGATAAAGTTGCGAAGACGAAGGAAGACTCGATTCATAAAGATACTTTTCACGAGGGGCAGTGAATGGAAATAGAAGGCTTCAATCGCGGAGGCGTTCTCTATATGCACTTGTGAACATTTCGACGCATATATCTCGAACGTTCATTGAATATGGAGAACAATCTGAAAGAAGATGTAAACAGGGGACGAAGGGCAGCTTGATCCGCTTTCGGGTTCTTCAAGGAAGCCACATATAGCCGAAGGACCAGGGGTGGAATGTATCAATCTCCCTGTTGAAGATCGGGTGCGCTTTTACAATAGAAAATCAGCTCTTTATCTAAGATAGGGAGCTGATTTTCCATTATAAAAGCGCTCCCGATTTCGACAGGGAGATTGATACATTCCACCCCAGAGCTCCGGGCCCACCTCTCCAATTTCATTCAACCTTTCTCTCTGCATATCCTGATCCAGCGGAATACATCTCTAAAGCAAAACATCTATGAGCCGGTGAAACAATGAAAAGGGCAGTTGGCAGATGGACACTAAGGTTCGCGCTCGAAGCAAAGCATCCTCAAGGGGCCACCATCCAGGTGAGCTGAGGTGTTCATTGCACGGAAGGACCAAGTAACGAATAACGGATATGGTCATGCCGCACTTCAATAACATCGTGTGGAACGCAAGCGAGAGACAAAAATGGATGGAACCAATATTGGGGCTCGTACGACGAGTGAAGACAGGCCATTTAA